CAGGCTGCTGTGCACCCACAAAGAATCACTATGCAAAGTTATTTATGGCTAAATAATGAGGGTTATGCGTGCAATAACGGTGCTGGGCGATTCAGTTCCTTTTCCTTTACCATAAACAAGGCTGCCCCTGGCTGCCTCTAAGGCAGTTAGAGTGTTCCTTTGCGGAACGTTCTACCGCAATGACCAATAATGCCATGAAACCCCTGGAGCAATTTGCGGCGAGGAAGCCTTCATGCAGTGTTGAAGATGGGGACGGAAGAAATGCGAGAACATCCTCACAATCATGTCAGCAGTTACGACCCCCGGAAAGAACGGCGTTTCAACCGCAAGATTCTGAAACCCATTACTAGCGACCTTCTTCCAGTTGTCAACAGAATGCAAAGCTGAGGAATGAAGGACACCTAGGTGTATTTGGTTGGGGACAAGCGGGAGTTCCACCTCACGGAGTACGTAGCTCGAAGGCAGGAAGTTTGCTCCAAAACGAAGGACGGAACACGTACGCTGATTGATGGCCAGTAGGCACAAAGTAGACCAGTCCCAGAGCGTAGCACCTCAGCGTTTGTGATAGCCTCAATCGGGGTACCTTATCAAATGATTTCGAGGTAAACCAAAAGCACATCCGTCAGGTGGCCATTGTCCGCTGCCTTCCATTCGGAAGTAAATGTACAGCTGTCAAATGAAAATGGAAAACACCATGGTCAGCGATCCCGTCACTTACACCGGCAGCTCTTGCAGAAGCTTCCGGTGAATGGAATCAGACGCAGCAGCTTCGGACCGGTGCACTTCTTGCAGCAGTTTAAGCACCGGCGTTTATGCACAACTTAACTCAGCTACATAATAAACCATCCGTGTCTTACAATCACAGCGCGCGCGGCATTGTAATTGGAACACACAAGGTACGATGATTAACACCCAGGCCAAACGTTGCACAGCTCACAAAATAGTCAAGGACATATACAGTTGGGGAAGAAAGGCATTGCCGTGGGAACTTACCGATTGCAAGCGGTTTCTATTTGCAGAGTTTATTCATGCGGTATTCCAATACTATTTCTGTGTATCCCTAAAGAAAAGTAACGTAAACAACGTGAAACGGAACTTACCCACAGCAACGCACACATGTATATGCCGCTTCCCCATGGTATGAAGCGCAGGTAATGAGCGCAGTCGTACGTGTACAACAATGACCGCAGCATGCTAAAAAGAGCTCGCTTATCTTCAGCGTTACACAGCGGAAGGTGTGAGCAACGCCGCCGCATGTCACGCATAATGTGTACCCGGCAGAAAACAATGTTCGCATTTGGGTACGCATTACGGAACGCGTTCACTTGCGCCGCGCACTTGTCCATCACCAACGTCCGAGCACCGGCAACCGAGGGGGCCAATTCCAACATACCTCTCACTGCCTCCTCGTAAGCTACCTCCGTCTCATTAGGCAACAGGGCATAAAAGAAGCTCATACCGAGGCCGCTGACATCCACAAACATGCAACGCCACAGGATGTAGCCTCCGTAATTGGTCTGATACGTGGAGTCCGCCAAAATTACCTCGCCGTACTGGCCCACCAATTCAAGCATGCGGGAGGGAACGAAAAATAGGTAACGAATCTGATTACCCGCATGCAGAATTTTTACCTCACCATTTCTTTGCAACATTTGAGTCACCTCCTCCACCTCAGTGACACAGGCCTTACGATGACGCCGCCGCATAACATACAAATCCCTCCTTGTTAAACGAATGTCATACTGCTGCCGCACAAAGGCACGCATCTCCTGGGTCCGACAAAACGTTCTCATTAAGTTAAGCACCAGCCTCTCCTGCTCTTCTGATAGCCTCCGATTACACGCATACAGCCAAGGCTTCCCAACTTGGAAGCTGTGCGAATGCCACAGATACGCATTCCCAATTTCGTAACATTCGCCCTTATACCTCACAGAAAAACGCGCAGGGCAATCGTAACATCGGTACCTATAGTAATCTTATCATGAGGCAATTGCAATGCACTTACCGCTTTCCAGTGACATTACTGCGCCTCCCATGCACACATACAAACAGAATATATCGGTATGGGCATCCATCCGGTAGCACCTGTCCAGTCTCCCTTTCGTACGCCTTCGCAGATTGCACGTTCCGACGAACAAAGGATGTCGCCGTTTTAATCTGAAACTCTTTCAGATCCTTCTCCACCGATGCGAAGTCCAGATAAGGACCCTTCAACAAACGTCGGAATGCAAGCGAGTCATCCACCATGGCTGCTACGCGTGAGGCGGGAAAATGATTAACCATCGTAACGCATTTAAACCACTTACTAAATTGATTACCAATCGAGGTCGTAGGATTTTAGCAGGCTTACTCAATCATTAATAAACAACACTATGAGTTCAATGTCGCCAAATCTACATCACATCACCTGCCACCCTATGTACCGGGATAACACTGCCGAAGGAGCGTTATTTCCAAGTGGCGGATGGGACGCTCTCATGGCTTCTGCTGCTTACGGTTTATGATTTAATTTGCGATTTTCTCCTTTAGTTACCTGCCACAGCCGGTAGAATAATTGTCCACCAAAAATTTACGACACGTCATCGTCGCGATTTTTGTAGCAAGTAGAAGCCACGAGTAAACTTTACACAATTACATGTCTCGACGGGGAATCGAAACCCTGACGTACGGATTACCGCTGCGCTGCTCTATCAACTGAGCTACCAAGGTCTGATTGTCAGGTGCGCGATTACCCATTGCGCGCTTTCCCGTTTTCTTCCTCTGTTAGTACTGTTGTCTGGTATTACCCGAGATGTGCGTCTCTTTTTCGTCTGACCCCAGTTTAGGTCTGCTCCAGTTCCTACTACGCCGGCTAATGGCCAGGGGTTTGTTACTCCATAGTAATTGTGAATTTTAGCCCGAACGATACACCACGGCAACATCCAACAAGCAAGAGGTTGCAGCAAACTCAGGCTCAAGTAGATGAGGTCAGTTACTTCGTCTTGTATTTTACTTCAGGTTGTTGATATTATGCGGACAAATGTTGAAAAGGTCCTCGAGCGGGATCAGAAGTTATCGCAACTGGACGATAGGGCCGGTATGTTTTTTCCCTCATTACTTTTCCAGACGTCCTCCAGGCTGGTGCGTCACAGTTCGAAGCCAGCGCTGGTAAGCTAAAACGCAAGCTTTGGATGAAGAACGTGAAGGTATGCTTTTCTTCGCATGTGTTGCATATACCCAAAGTTCACCGACTAGCTCTTTATTTCCGCATACATCCTTTAACCTGACGTTTAGACCCATTGCTTTTAGGACGACTCACCGTGCCTTGCCTATACTCTGGGTTTACACTAAATTGGCGGTTTATTCTAAATGATATCAAGGATCCTTTCACCGTACTTATTATGTTTTTAAAGAGATGCATGGCTTACGTCTACATCTGCCCAATTGTCATCAAGTTTATCCTGTTTTCTTAGGAGCGCTTTTTAGGTGGTGGATTCAGAACTAATGCCCCTTCGTTTTTGGATGCTGTAAAGAAATTTGACGCTGCCACAAAATGATAACGAAAAGACAGAAAGACATTGGTCGGCAATCGTACGCGAGGTGGCGGTTGTGCTTCGGAGGTTTGCTTGACTACACTCGGAGCCTTTGTCTCAATAGCCTGACCTACAAGGCAGCCGGTGATTTGGAGATTTGCTTGAGGGACTACGCCCGGAGGCTTTGGCTCAATAGCGTGACCCACAAGACAGTGGGGAGCAGACCCAGCTGTTGATTGTGATTGCAGAGACAGATTTGGATCTGCTTGACGTCCGTCACACGCAGCTTTTGAGGTACTGGAACGGTTCATATTTCTTTTGGGACCGTAATAGGATACGCATCTGCGACGACGGCCAGACGCAGGTGAGTTTTGGCGGGTTTGCACCAATCTGACCAGGAGCTGCCTGGCTTGAGGCGGGCAGTAGCAAACCACTGAACACCTGGAGGTGCCGTCCTACCGTCAGACAATGCGTGGCGCTCGTGCTCTACACCAAGCGACCTGTGAGCTTATGACACGTAGCTCCGTTGTCTCCCAAGGCTAGGTTCAGGTCAGGTCAGATGGACGATAGAGGCTTCCGCCTAACGAGCGTCCAGTTCTTGTGTCGGTAAGTGAAGCGGCCCCCGGCACTTCGACGTTGGATTCTCTTCTTGCTTCTGCAATGGAATGAAGCCAGAACAAGAACAATCTCTGCATTTTCATATGCCAGCATCAAAATACACTATATATACCAGTACAACTACAATACCTCTGGAAAAAGGATGGACCAACAATTGTCTAAGCACCTTTTGAAGGCTACCACGGTCTCAGACTCCACTAAATCAGAAGGAAGTTTATTCCAGTAGTTAACTACTCGGTTCGTAAAAAACTTTACGGGAAGAGGGCCGTTAACCATCTCCTAACCTCCGAAGAGGACTATATGGTTGGCGGCATCCGGTTTCGGATTTGCCTGTCACTGGGGCCAGCCACAGGACGCCTGCGCCTACAGAGGGACTATGGGTGGCTTGCACTGCACCACTAACAGCTCCAACCACACCCCATATCCAGTGTAAACCCGAAGGAATAAGACCGGGAGGCATGTGGATGGGAGCCACGTTTCATCAACGGAGCCAGCCCACACTCCTTCACAGGCAAACACAAGCACGCGGTATTTGGGGAATCAAGCGCACACACAAGGCGGTGGCTGGACCGTAGTCCGCTCCACACTGAGTGCATGGAACCGCTCTTTGAGCCTAGCGCGGCCACAAGGACCGCGCACCCCGTCCCCTCCAGCAACGACCAACTGTCTCCTGGAGCGAGTATGGACGAGGTAGTGGGTAATAGACAGGTAGGCACCTTGTCAACATGCACACCAAGCGCAGCCACACCGGGGATGTCGAGCAGCAGCCATTAACTTTAAACGAAAAGCGGAAATAAAATAAATCCAATAATGCATACAGATACAGTGGCATAACTCTTCCCTAAATTACCATATGAACTAAGTTGGTTAGCAACGAATCCGCAATAAGTAAGAAATGTCCAAAACTTACTTAAAAATGCTACAAACGCAACGAAATTACCGAGAAGAGGACTATATATATATATATATATATTGCGACTGCACCACATTTTATCCGGGTGCGATACGTTCCCTAAACTTGTCCGCAAAGTGGGCGTCAATGAAATCTCTTAAATTCCGATACCGCTTTAGCCTCGACTAGCGTCTCCGGCAATTTGTTTCAACATTCCATCACTCGACGCTCGATGCACAACGGGTGAGCAATGTGCTTTACATCCGGTACCACTGCTTTGTACCGGTGTCTGCGTCTGCTGCGTAGTACGCGTAGGTGCAGCAGCGGCCTCAACATAGGGAAATGGCACAAGTGCAGTATCTGATGCGTCATAATGTGATCAACTGGAAGCCCACTCTATGATAGTGTATAAAGCCCTAGTCCTACATCGGTCCTCGTACATACCCCGTAAACTGGGGATGAGCCGGGTAGCTACATTCTGGAACCGTTCCAGTCTCTACACCACCTATTGTGACCGGACAACAGGCTGGTGAGCCGTACTCAGGCACCTGTTTTATCATTGTAGGGAACAGACAGATGACAATCTCTTCAGACCAAGTGCAGAAGCTGCGTCCGAGTACCCAAATCAGGCGTAGTTCGTTTGCGTACATTCTGTTTGTGTTGTCGACAGACTTCATGTCACAGCGTATTTATTAATATTTGAGCAGCGATCGGTGTTGCGTGCGCCCACGCAACATTCATGCAATGCTTTAAAACACTGTATTTTTGAGGTATAAGGTATATTATACACTGTCCCAACGAGACGACCTTAGCTTGGTGTGACGATTTACGTACCTCGTCGACCCATTGAACTATACTGTGTGTGACCCCCGAGCCCATTGAGATCCACTCCTACCAGGTTGGTCAACGGTTAGAGAGTTCAGACGAACTCAGTCTCCTTGTCCTCCAGGTTGTGGGTTTTAAATGGGATGACGCCCATTTATGTAAAACCGAATCGTTGCCACATCCGATGCCTTGCGAACACGCTTTTGAACCAATTACTTTGGGTGGAGACCTTACTGTTTCTCCTGTCTGGGCTCCTTGACAGTATCTCAGCGCACGTACAACCTGGACTGTTTTTTCAAACTTCGACCACATTCTTCATCGGCCGTCGCGATGCTTATCAAAGGCCGCCTTATCAGCCGAATACAACCGAGCGGATACGCCAAGACATGCTACTGCTGGCGCCTCCCTTATTTCTTGCCACCTGTTTCCTTTACTCCGCTCCAAACCCTCATTATTTACCTTTTACCTTCTATAATTCCCAGCTTGATTGACAACGGCCGCAATTTCACTGCAGTTCTACCCTCTGCAGCCACCTTCACACACCACCCAATGGACTCCTATCAGTACCAACCCCTAATAAGCCCACGCTAATCCGTTTCCTTGGCAGCGTTCAAAGTTCACAAACTAACACAAATGAGTCAACAGGCTCCACTCATTTGCACGTTGGACACACCGGGTATTTACGTATGTTGCGTATCCGAAACTAGGATCAATGACCCATACGCGGTTGTTGAATTAACTGCGCCTGGCTTGTCCTTTCACTTTTGGTTGCACGCGTCCGGAGGTGCTGGTGCAGCAATCACTGCTCAAGCAGGAGTCCGCATCGTTTCCAGCCCCAAGACTGAGTCAATGTTGCTTGATTGGATTTCTATGCGCAGCCGCTCGTGTACAGTCCGTTTGACGACATCAACTAAGGTTGGCTCACGAAGAGGTACCAGACGCTTATGTCCCCACTGACTTCAGTTCTGATGCTGCCAAAGCCGCCTTCTACCACGAAATGAACACGCTCATTCGCAGTGCTGCCAGTTCAACTATGGTTGTTGTTGCAAGCCATATGAATACAAACTTAGGTCTTCTGAACTCTTCTGATGCTCAAATAGGTGGTAAGTATGGACATAACTCCGGCCGTATGGACAACGATGATCCTCTTTTACAGCTGTGTGCGGAGCACCGGCCGGTTCTTATTAGCGCACTCACGATATTAATATATTTCCCTTACGGATAAAAGGTGAGGTGACAGTAAAATTCCTCTTTGATCCCCTCCGAACTACAGCCAGTAGCGGCATATACGGAAACAATGAAGACATCCTTTCTCCAGAGGATGCTTATTAACCCCGGTTGTACACAGGCAGCCAGTCGAGTAGATTGCTTTCAACATGTTTGTTGATGTCGATACTTGCACCATAAATACCTTGGACCATTTGCTCAGTATCAGCAAAGACGCGAAGAGTGTAGCCACTGTCGGTGTATTCTGAATCTTTGTGTCAAAGACTCCTCATGTCACTGTTATCTTGTGTGTGTTTCGGAGACGCAGTACACATAAATACCTAGCAAGTGGAGAGCGGAGTTAATGCTGCTTATTAGCAGGCTTGATCCAAATTGCGGACATTAACTGAACGATTGGGAAATTAAACCCTTGATTTAATAGACGATTTACTTGCATCGATAGCATCAGTTGCAATGTCGGCTGATGGGGGAAAGGGTTGTAATCGGAGAGGAAAGCGAAAAATAGTATTGGTAGCGGAGTCAAGAGTGCGGCAGTAAGCTCCGACGGCCAATTTCGTGAAAGGAGTTTTATTTAACGTGCTCTACTTTTCGAGTTCGACATCGCCAGCCTGACCCACAAGGCAGTGGGGTACATGGAGGTTCGTTTGACGGACTCTGTCTGGAGCCTTTGGCTCAGTTAGTTAGCTCACAAACTAGTGAGGAGCTAGTCCAGCTTAGGACTGTGATCCACTCCTGTCACATGCAGCCACTGAAGGTTCAGAACAACTCACCTGTGTTTTTCGACTGCAGTGCCTTGCGACTATGGCTAACCGCAGGTAGTTGTCGGGTTCGCACCTATTTGACCGGGGATTGATTGGTCTACGGTGAGTGGCAACAAAACCATTGAATATCGGGCGGTGTCGCCTCACCGTCTGCGTCAATGTGTGGCACTCGTGCTCTACTCCAGTCCAGCTGAACATATAACGTTTAATCTGTTTCACCACATAGTTAAGTCTTGAATAAAACTGGTCATCAACCTCACCCTAACCTCGGAATAGGATTGTGACACTGTGTTAGTCAGACCCTTAAGCCATTATTTTGTCAGGTATTGGCGTCTCTGAAGGCACTTCGG